GAAGAGCTGGGCAGCGAAGGTGGGGTCTGCCTGGAACCCCATCCACACAGGCTGCCCGGAGGCTCCTAGCAGCCAAAGTGTCAAATGGTTTCCTGGTAATCAGAAAACTTTTTAATATTACAAATTCTGTTTGTATGCAGACAGGCAGAAAGACACCCAGAGATGCCTCACAAAGTCAAACATTAAAACATTTTTAAGGATTTTGTTATGTATTTATTATGAAATGGCTACAATGTAGTGAATATATGTGTAGAGAAGGTCCTATAATTGTGTAAAAACATTGTCCTCTTATGACAAATTCCTTTTTCTTAAAGGAAAACAGTGCAGACTCTCACTCAAGATCAGTCTACAACCCTTCCTTACCAAGTTTTGAAACCTTGGTCCATATCTGTGGTACTATTTCCATGTCAGAGGAGTTTATGTGTTGGGGAAATATATAGTTGCTTTCTCTAGGCCTTAATTTATAAGATCTTTTTTCTACAATATTGCTGCACATGGAATGGGCCTTTAATAGCAAGGCGAGAGACAGGTGCATTTCCTTAAATCACAGTGGCAAGAGCAGAAAAGGAGAGTAAGTTTAAAATTCAGTCATCAGAGGAAAGCAATTACAGTGTGCAACTGCTCCTTGACCAATTTATTCTTGATACTTGGAGGGAAAAGTAAATCTATTGGTGTTCTGATTTTTAGAGTATACATAACAATGATAAAACCACTTTCTCCTAATGACATAGCTCTCCACTTTCCATGTCTCTCTACACAGAGGACACTTGTGCTGCATTTATCTGTGACCGCTCAGGCTCTTCTTCCTCTTGTCAGGAGACCCTTCAATCCCTTTATTACATGGCAGAGACCAGCTCTGGAAAGGACTCGGGGTATACACCTCCAATGCGTTCCTTTCCATCCAGGCCTTCGAAATTGGCTTTTTATCAATCATTCATTAGGGAAATGAAAAGAAAGTGGACATGTTTCTCAGTGACTCAAACTTCTGTAAGTTTGAAAGCAGTAAGCAAAGAGAAACATGTTGAATAATACCCCTGTGTCACGTTAGATTTCTCAGTCCCAGAAGCTTGCTGTTCACTATATCTGAGAGCAGAGCCAGGGCAGTGCTTGCGAATCGTGTCCTTCACTTGGAAATCCCAAGTTGGCACGAGTCCTGGGCATCTGTACGCTGGTCCTATGAGGAGGAAGAGGAGGGCGGGGGAGGCTGCACACCCAGCACAGCACCAGGATGTGCACAGGGCGGTGGCCCCTCCCTCCCTCCCCCCCCTCTCGTTTTCATCATCACCATTCTTGTGGCTTGTTTGTTGTTACTTACTTAGACTCCTTCTTTCCTGACCAGAGAGTTTCCATGGCACTGTGCTCTGTATTTGCACTCAGGCTCTTCAGTGCAGCGGCAAAAATAAATAACAAGCAAAACATTCACTGAAACAAGTATTGTAATGCATGAAACTCTGATAGCACATACACTTGCAGTGAATTAAAAGAAAACCTCAAGGTACTCATTAAGTAATTCACGTGGTAATCCGGCCATCACTTTGATGCAGTACACCTCCCCAGGCACTGTCCACCTTCTAGACTCTCCCATGCCAGGAAACTCCCAGATCTGCAGCGGCCAGGACAGAACCGGACGGCCTCACCCATGCCGGGAGCCCCACAGAACACAGTGTGGCTGCAGACCTTCCATGTGCCTTTGTTTTTCAAACATGTGAGTCTGGTACACATATGGTAGTCTAGAATTATAAGTAATGTGACTAAAACCAGAGATACAGGAGGTCCAAATTTGGGTTTTGTTAGCCCAACATAAAAAAAAAAAAACCCACCGTTACTAGTCTTAGAGTTAGACCCTGTGTTTGAACATGGTAACTGGCTGACAAGACCCTTCTGATGTCATTATTTATTTCCCCATTCTGCAATATGCTTGAGGAGATGATGCTCTAAACTGCGCTTAAAGAGATGCACCTTGGCTCTTCTCAGAGCCAGGATAAGTAAGAAAGTCAACAACCATAAAAACCTACGAGGAGAGGACCCTCCTGTCAGCCAGAAGGCTTCGTGTGTGCGGAGTTGGGTGCATTGGGGTCTCAGCACATGGGTCTAAAGCAGAGCAGCCGCGGACCGGGGTCCAGGCAGAGGAGGTGCGGGGTTAGAGGAGGTGGGTGAGTGGCTGGACCAAGAGGGGGACTCGCTGAGGGTCAGTGGGGTCGCCTGCCTGAGGAGACACATCCAGCATCGGATCTCCCATCTGGAGTCTCCTGGGCTGCCGCTCCTGCAGCCTCAGACCAACCAGCGGGGAAAATCATGAGCCGAGCTGCCTGTGACCCGAGAGGCTCATAAACCACATAGCTCGGCTAGGTCCACTGTGGCTCTCACTTAATTACCCCCATGAAACACAAAGCAAAACTTAATTGCTGAATTTGATCAATTGGTAACATGCCAGACGTGTTTAAAGAGCTTTCTCGCCTCTACTTATGTCATGGCTCTCAGAGTAAAACTAAAAGGAACTGGCTCTAATTCCTTGTAGTGCAGCTCAAATTAGTTATTGCAATCTAAAGCCTCCTAATCAAGCTTTTTCATTTAGTTTTAATGTACAGGTTCACTTTAGCTGCTTCTTCAACAGAATGCAAATGTGTTCGTATAACATTGAGTTCTAATGGGAGTTGGGACAGGGAATCAAGATAAATTGCTAGATCTTTGGAGATTCACACCCCTGTCTTCTGAGATTCTTTGAACTCCAAGGAAAGATTTGCTAAGTTAGGACTGACTTCTACAGCCTCCGTGCCAGCCCTCTGTGCTGGTCGGTAGTCACGAACTCCCAGGAGACCCCGCCATGCCGGGCTGAGGCTTAATAACTGATAAATCAGTTGTCATTGAATCACCAGATTCATGGGAAGAAAAGGAACAAGGACTCTACAGAATCAACGTAAAAAGTGTTAAAGGTAAATCAGCAAAGGCATTGACGTTGGCTTCACTGGAGCAAAGTTGCCCAACCGACCGGAAACCTGAACCACCCTCATGTCGGCGCTTGACGTAATCTCCCCATACTAGGCACCAACTATGCGGGGCTCCTGCGGATCTCCTGCTGTGTAAGCAGCTAAGGGAGATGTGGAGTAAAAAGGGCACAATGGAGACTAAAGGAAAAGAAGTTGACACTGTGGCAGCAGGCTGGGAAAGAGATTTGAAAAGGCGATGGAAGAGAGCATCAGTGCGGAAGTAGCAGACAAGTAAGCATAGGTCGTGGGTGACCAGGTGCATTGACCATGAATTCGCTGGGCCTGCCAGGTTCATTACACTCAGGAGCAGGGCTCGAGTGGGTCTGTTAGCACAGACTTTACATACATGAAGGCTCCCTCACACCCTCCGTTGACAGATTGCAGCCCTGACTGAGATGGTGCAGTCTCTTCATTAGCAGAGCCAGGTCTAGAAGACCAGTTTCTGCTATGAAAATATCACTGATGACTTCTCTGCCATCAGCTTGGCCAAAACAGCACAAAAAGCCAAGATAATCTTCAATGAGCTTACACATGACAAAAGGGGCAAACGAGCATAAAGATGGCCCTTGCCCACACCCGCTCTCTCCCTTTGCACATGCAGCGATTCGCACTTTGCTGCCTGGATCCCCTCCCCTCCTCAGCCCTGCACCTGCACAGAGGCCTGTGCTCAGGGAGCTCCTAAGAGGATATAGAGAAAGAGATGAGCTCAGGCTGGCCTGCATTGGTCCTCTGTGACAAAGGCCTTGGACGGTGCAGCACACCCCAGCCACCTCTAAACCGCGGGCCGTGTTCCCCCATCATGTGGAGCCGTCTGAGCCTCATTCTTGTATTTGCTTGATGTGGTCAGTTGCTTCCTTACGACGTTCTCTCTGGTTTCACAGTTAGAACTCCTACTGGAAGGCCATCAGCTCCCTGCTGTAGCTGTGTTCCCCCTCCCCCACGCCGGAACCACGCCCCCCCCCCCCCCAGTGTTCCTGCTCACAGCGTCCACTCCATTGTCAGCAGAGGACATGGTGTGCTGTTCTGCCATCTTCACTGGTTTTACCCATCCAGTCTCCTTCCTCTGTTGACTGTGATTCAAAGTCTGGCTTTTATTCCTTGTGACTTGGAATATTGAGTAATGTGATTGGCTCACCTGTCTGGACCCTGACCACACATGAAGAATACTACCACTCCCCAGGTCAGAACCCAACGGCTCCACGCTAGGTGCAGATCACCGTCCACACCTTTTCCTCTGATGGTCAAGCATTTCGCCATCTACACTTGCAGGTTTACCTCCTGTCACTTTTTTCACGTAACATACCAGAAAAACACACCCTCCGCTTTTTCTGGCATTTTCCTCTTTGTGTTACTTTTGTATAGCTTCATCTCCTTTGGTTCCTCACTTACCCCGTCCCGACTGCTTCGAAACCTCTTTGCCTTGCTGGGTGGAAGCCCTAGCCTCATCACTTCCTGTCCCGGAGAGGCCCGCATGGCCCTCACTTCCTGTCTGGGAAGTACATCATTTTAAAACAGAGTTTTCACCCTGTCTTGAGGATATGTTGTTTTTCTCTCTTGAGTGCTGAAATCATGGTACGTGGCCAATTAAGCAGAGACCTCTAGATATCTCAATAAAATATCTTAACATGCGGTGCTTAAAAATATGACTTAATAAATTTTGGTTACCTGTCAGTCATAATGTTCTTCCAGCTTCTTTTTAGAAGTCAGGGGTTTACCAGGGGAAAGGTTTCATCATTATTTACATTGTAAGACAATCAGTAACTGAACTATTAGTGCTACCCGTTGAACAATCATCACTTTAAGTATTGAACAGGTACCCGACGCAGACCTCAAGTGAATCCAGAATTTCATCACAGTGATTGAGCCTAAATATGTTTTGTATTTCAATGCATCAAAAAAATTTAGCAGTAATCAGGCACACATTAACAACCAAGCCACAGGGATTTTCCACACATTTTCAGAAAGAAATTGTAACATTCCCTTTATGCTTAAAAACTATTCTTCATCTCCCAGGTGTGATGGGAGAGTACGAGCCGAAAATTGAGGTCCATTTTCCCCCGGTGGTAGCAGCTGCGAAGGGGACGACGGTGAAGATGGAGTGCTTTGCACTGGGCAAGTAAGTACGTAGCCTGCACTTAGACGCCACCCTCCTCGGATGGTGACGCGTGGGTCAGGATTGTTCGTTTGGGTAGTTTTCGTGTTCCCCGAAGCACCACAGTGGCTAGACAGCTTGTACCAAAGGACCAACTGGGGGCGGAGAAAGTACCTAGGCGTAGTACCTTCCCAGTCATTTCCATGGTCAGCAGTGGCTCTCATTTTGCTACTTAAGCATAAAGGAAACCTTAACCTTAAGAAGAGCTTTACATCTTTTGCCTACAATTTCAGTATCATCCTTAGAATTCACTCAGCCATGATATAATTAAAGGAGGACACGATGAACTGTCTGCTTGTCCTGTGCACAACGTAGAAGAAAACGACGTAGGACTGAAAGGGCGATAGGTCCAGGGAGCCAGCTGCTATTCTGTCCTCCCAAAACAATGGGATAGCACACGATTTACACCCCATCCTCACGCCTGCCGTGCTCAACGACTTCACACTGAGGATTTAAATCTGACGATGTGCAGTCACTGCCATGGTGTTTACAGTGTGGGCATGGGGGGCAGAAGCAGGGCAGAGTTTTGATCACACTAGATTGCAGTATTATGATTCATTTAAAAACACTGTTATTTTTTAAGACGATAAGACCTCAGGGTCCTTTCTAGACTCCATAATTGCAATTTGCATAATGCATCTCTATCAGAGTTCCTAATCACTTAACTTCAGTTATGTGGAGTTAACTCCCACAACGTAACTATGAGGATCTTGGAGATCAGGCATAACATATAAATGTGTTTATAACAGAGGGTTAGCTTGTGGGCATGGAAAGTATCAGTAAATGTGAGAAATTCAGCTAGTAAATGGAGATTTAGAAATAAACAGTAAGTACCAGATGCTGCAATTTCAGCATTAACTGAAATAATGCTGTTCTCCTCTGATCGAAGTAGAAACAAGGTCATAACACACTAAAAAAAGCAAGTAAGTTGAAAAGCCCATATCTTAAGAAAATGATATCCATATTCATCTGGGAGATATTTTAACAGATTTCCTAGGAAGCCTTCCAAACCCAAAAATATCATTTAAGTGGATAATATTGAATAAAACCTTGAAAATTCATGTCTTTACCATTTGCCCATTTCATAGTATCAGCCTGAAAAAATCCCCAGTAAGTTGCTTAATTTTGATAAATGTAAAAATAATGTATTCTGACTTGATATCAAAAGTTTCAGAATATCCTGAAGTTAAATAATATTTTAAGTACCTGAATTTATACCACAGCCACAAATAGAAGGAGGTCATATTGTAAGACAAATTAGAAAACTAGATTTAGGGAGGCAAAACAATGCAGAGTGTTTCCCCAGGCAGGCTTATTTAATAAGTTAGATGCGGTTGCTTCTGGAAGCCTTGGCATCGGCTCGGTAATGGGGGCTTAAAGTCCCGTTTCCCCGAGGTCAGGTCCAGCAGTCAGAACGTTCCTGTTCATTTGTGTCAACTTCCCACTCTTGCCTTCACCACCCTTCCCCTCACCAGAGCAAGTGAAGGAGAGGGTGAAGGAAAACGCACCACTGCAGTCTATGAAATGTCACAGTTACGGAAAAAAACACATAAAGCCATCATCACTGCCTAAAAACTAACCCGCCACCCTCATGAAAATACAGACTGAAGAAGCAGTGTTTTGGCACGCGCCGGTCCCATGATCCCACGGCAGCCTGTGTGTGCCAGGAAGGCTCACGGCGCAGGCCCCACACGCTCAGACAGGCAAATGCAGATGGACCGTGAGCATCTGCTCAGCATTCTCTCTCTGCGTGGTCTCCGTGGGCCTCAGGCCCCCTGTGGGCTCATTGCCCCCTCTCAGGAGACCCAGGTAGGAGGTGTCTAGCTGGCCCCCCACAGACGTGTCAGCAGATTCGGGAATCTGCTAACAGATGGCGTGGAACCTGGGACGTGGTTGGTGGCTGTTGCTCTTTCTCCTCTTGCCCTCATCTTCCAGGGTGGCCTTTCCCAAACCCTGTCCTTCACTTCACTGCCAGTTCAGCAGAGGTGAGCCACCACGCGCGGTCTGACGCACGCCCCGTGTGCTGCGCCTGCAGGCATCTGTGACGGCCTCTTCCGGCGTTCAGTGCCGTTGGAAGTGTGGACACAGGTGCTCCAGCACTGCGGACGGGCGTCGGGCCCACGTGCGGACAGGGTCCCCCGAGCGTTCGGTGGATCGAGGGGAAGATCTGGGAGGAAGCTGAGGCATTTGTAGGCAGAGTAGCAAGAATCCCTTCTCAGCTGTGAGCAGGAAGAGCAGTGTGCCGGGGAGTAACGCTGCCAGGCCGGCGAGCTGGAGACTCGCCAGAGTGGGCGGTAGAGCTGCACCGCCTGCAGCCACAGGAACAGCTCAAGAAAGATCTGGAATCTTCCCCCAAGCGGCTCCTCTAACAACACGTGGTTACTCTCAGGAAGCGTGAAATCCATGTTGTGAATTAGTGCTTGAAGTCCTTTCCTTCTATGTAAGACCCAGCCGCCCCGTCCGCTATTCTTTCCATCTTTTACCTCTTCGTCACTCTTCCTTTCCTCTTCTCTTCCAACACTAACTATGTGAAAAGGGACCCGTCCTGCCGCCGGGAAGCAGCCGGGGGTCCGGGGAGCAGCAGAGGCACCACGGGGCTGCAGCGCCGAGCGGGAAGAGAACCACGCAGGGGTGCGCATGGAACAGCGTAGTGCTCACCATTTGGCGAGAGTCCCAACCAGCCCTCATGGTGTGCTGAGGCTGCCTTTCCTGGCATCTGCCACATCGTTGGTGCTCGGGAAAATGTCTGCTGAAGAAATGGTCAACTCAGAAATGCTGAGTCTACTTATTAACCGACTCCACTATTTACATTAACTGATAATGAATGAAAACGCTGCCGTTTCTTCCGTCATGCGTCCGGATCTGTGTGTCCGTGCACGACACCTCTGCCTCTAGCCTCACTGTCCGCTCGTCCTCCATCCCCCCTTGCCCTGTCTCCTCCCTCTCTCCATCAACGGTGTCCTCGTCTTAGACTTGCTGTGTCTCCATCTCTGTTGCTGTGGTGGTGGTGGTATGACTGCTTTCCGTGAGCTCCAGCCTGTTAACCGATATCTTAGTCCTTAAGTAGAGACGGTTTGCTCTGAGTAAGTGAAGGACAGGGTGGAAACTACCCGTCACACAGAGTCGCCCTTGATGCAGAAACAGCTTGAGGGTTAAATAGGGAAACGAGTATAACCACGCTACCTCCAGCTTTGCCTATTCTTCCACCATCCGATTTCCTGCTGGTAATCCCCATTTTCCTCACATTGCTAACAGAAACACATCCTAGGTATACTACTTACTACTTGTACCAAGGAAAAATGATACAGTCCTTAGTGTACATGTGACAAAAAGCAGCAGTGGGTGGGATGCAGGTGGCTCACACCTGTCAGCTGCTCAGGAGGCTGAGATCCGAGCATCCACGGTTCAAATCCAGCCCAGGCAGGAAAGTCCGTGAGACTCATCTCCAATGAACCACTGGAATCCTGTAAGTGGCACTGTGGCTTAAGTGGTAGAGCACTAGCCTTGAGCAAAAGGGTTCAGGACAGTGCCCAGGCTCTGAGTTCAAGCCCCACAACCAACAAAAACAACAAAGCAGTAGTAGGCTTCAGGACGTTCATTTCACGGCTGAAGGACCCACGAAGTCAAGGGGCAGCTGAGGGCTGGGAAGCGGGGGTGCTGGCGTGTGCTGGCCACCAGGATCTCCATCTTACAGAGATGCTCTTCTGTCTCCTGAACCTGTGCAGATCCAGCACCACTCCCGCAGCAAGCGGCGTGAGTTACCTGTGAGCTCGGCACCCGCTGGCCACGCTGACCTTGCCCCTCCCCCACCCCACCTGGCTGCTGGAGACAGTCAGTGCACTTAACAGTAATAATAATGACAGTAATAACAACAGATTTTTTTCTTTGAATTTTCTCTGACTGTGACAAGATCACATGAAACCCGATAGTTTAAGCTAGAAACTGTCTTTAGTTGGTAAAGAATCATACTTTAAGACATGTCAGGGTTCTGTGTCATTGCTTATAAGCCATTTTATTTCTCTTCAAAATTGCCACTTTTTGATCTGTCCTTGAAGGTGTTCAGTTTCTATAAATTGCAATATATAAATTAATGCACATAGATAATTTTTAAAAATATATGCTCCACTCTTTTCTATATTCTTGAAGAAAAATGGAAGAAAGCAAATGTTGGGTAATCCAACTTCACTCTCTCCATAGTGTGAATTTTCACAACCTGTCTAATTTGAAGCTAAGTCAAATCAGAGAACTGAAAACTTGGAGTTCCTTTCTGGAGAAACCTCTACTGGAATCTGAACTTGGCGAATTGAGATGTGTCTCTGCAGCCCGGCGGACCGGTTCACTCAGAGCTTCAAACAGAATTCACGAAGGGACTGTGACATGGCTGTGTGTGATATTGGTCAGTTCTGCAAAGTTAATTCCAAGAAAAAAGAGAAATGCCTAAGTATGATCCACATAGGTGTGAGATGACTTGGGAAATACAGCCAGGTGCTAAAAAAAAAAAAAATGGAGGGGGATTAATTACTCTGGAAGAAAAAGGCTGCTTTAGACATATGGAACACTATTACCAAGAGATTGCTCACAAGCTGTTCTTCAGTTTCAAGGAGGCAGGGAGGGGCAGAATTCCAGCGGAGTGGCATGAAGCCTGGGAATCAGACAGGACTCCTGTAGATGGTCTTGACAAAAAGAGTTGTTAGAGAAAACAGGCTGTCGGGGGAAAGGCTTGGAAGGCGTTGGCCCACACCAACTCATGGTGGTAATGACGTCCATTTGTCATGGAATGGTTGAGATGCAGTGTCCCCTGAAAGGAGACAGTGGTCTAGGGCAGATGGGAAATGAAATCCTGAAGCCTTCTTGTTTTCTGACCACTCAGCCACCCACCCTTGGGCTAAATATTAGGAGCATAGGGTCAGAATCCCAGGCAGCGTCTTCCTGTGGCTTGGTGTTAATGTGTGCTTGATTACTGC